TCAAAAAAAAAAAGAAAAGAGAATCCTGCCAATGCCCAGAGGATGATGGAAGTAAGGACAGGTGAAAGCAGAAAGCAGGAGACCCAGAGACTCAAACGCTAGAGCCTGAATGAACTAAGGACGTCTTGTTAACCAGAAGGTGCGCGGAAGACTCAGGAGTGAGATGCAGATTTGCAGCTGACACCATCCGCCTCCCAGAAAGCTGCTATGAGCGCCTCCCAGAAAGCTGCTATGAGCGTATGACTTCTGCAGCCGCCGAGGTCAGGGCACAGCGTGTGACCTTCACCCAGAAATGCAGGACGCCTGCCTGTGCTGCCCCAGAGGCTCAAGGTTATAGCATAGCTCAATCTTGCAAATGCTATCTGCACATATGCCCCGCTCTCCATTGCCTTCTAAGTCTGAAGCATCGTGACAACACTGGAGCCCTGGCAGTCCCAGCTCAGACTGTGGGCCTGGCCCCGTGACCTGGCTGAGCCCAGGTGCTGCTCTCCTCCCTGCAGGTGTCAACACTTGGGGTCTGAGGGTGTGCTGTCTCTTCTTCAGCGCACTTCTGACCCTAAATGTGGTACAAACACCAACTAAAGTCCGACAGTTCAATCTTGACTATACAAGGCTCGTACCTGATGCCCCAAATTAAGGGCTCGGTCCCGCAAGACTGCTCCAACTTCAGACACAAGCCAAAAACATGGGATCCAGGTCACCCACACTTCTGCCTATTTACAGGTTCCCACGACACCCCTCAGGTGCAACAGTGCTAGAATTCATAGAACTCAGGAAAACACTGCTTAGGTTTAGCAACAGCCAGATGGGCTGGGGGAGGGCTGGGAGTCCACGCCCTGGGGCACATCACTCTCCAGCACCTCCCCCACCCAGAGGCTTCACAACCCAGGCCCCAGCCCTCCCCTCATGAGGGAGCTGCCCTGTTTTCAGCCCAGTAATGGTCGTAGCCCCTTTGGGTAGTGTATCCCAAAGCGGCTCCCATGACTGACAGGACACTCACTCATCTCTGGACATCCCCAAATCCCCAGGGCTTGGGTGCTCCATCAGGAATCAGGACCAAAGCCCAGGCAGAGCCTGCACCATCTCACAGGGCCTGGCTCAGCCATGGGCAGGAACAGTGCTCTGCAGGCAGGAGGCTGTGAAGAACAGGACTTTCCCTCTCCCAGGTCTGGAAACCAAGAAGTCCAGGACCAAAACACTGACTTTGGGCCTGCTCTGCCCCTATGTGGCAGAGGAGCCCCTTTATAAGACACCTAACTGGGCAGCAACTATGGCTCCGTGAGTATGGCGCGGCCCCACAAACCAAGGGTGGTGGGTTCGAACCTGGCCCCAGTCAAAACTGCAACAACAAAAAAAATAGTTGAGCATTGTGGCAGGCGCCTAAAGTCCCAGCTACTTCGGAGGCTGAGGCGAGAGAATCACCCAAGCCCAGCCCAAGAGCTGGAGGTTGCTGTGAGCTGTGACGCCACATAATGGGAATGTCTCTTAAAAAAAAACACAACCTAACCATTCCCAAGGGAGGAGCCCCCCCCCACGCACACACACCCCTACCCTTAACCACTTCCTCAGGGTGCTGCCTCCTGACACCATCCCATTGGCACATTGGCAACAGCCAAATTTTGGAGGACACAGCAAACCAAAGCAGTGCTTTTTAAAATCACCTCATAGGCTCAGCGCCTGTGGTTCAAGTGGCTAAGGCGCCAGCCACATATACCTAAGGTGGCAGGCTCAAATCCAGCCCGGGCCGCCAAACAACGATAGCTACAACCAAAAAATAGCCGGGCGTTGTGGCAGGCGTCTGTGGTCCCAGCTACTTGGGAGGCTGAAACAGGAGACTCGCTTGAGCCCAGGAGTTGGAGATTGCTGTGAGCTGTGATGTTACAGCACTCTACCCAAGGGGACAGCTTGAGGCTCTGTCTCAAAATAAATAAATAAAATAAAATTGCCTCATAAAACTAGGCATGGTGGCTCATGCCGGTAATTCCAGCACTCTGGGAGGCGAGGGTAGGAGGATCTCTTGAGCTCAGGAGTTCAAGATTAGCAAGAGCAAGACCATTTCTACTAAAAACAGAAAACTCCGTCAGCAGCACCTGTGGCTCAAGGAGTAGGGCACTGGCCCCTTATCCCAAAGGTGGTGGGTTCAAACCCAGCCCCAGCCAAAAACTACAACTGAAAAAAAAATGCAAAAAACAAACAAACAAAAAACACAGAAAACTCCAGGTGTTATAAGGGGCATGTGTTGTCCCAGCTCCTCAGGAGGCTGAGGCAGGAGGATCAGCTCAGCCCAGGAGTTTGAGGCTGCAGTGAGATAGGATGATGCCACAGCACTCAGTCTAGCCTGGGCAACAGAGGCTACACTCAGACTCAAAAAAAAAAAAAAAAAAAACCACATAAAAGGCTCGGCGCCTGTGGCTCAAGTGGCTGAGGCATCAGCCACATACATCTAAGGTGGCGAGTTCGAATATAGCCCGGGCCGCCAAACAACAATGACAGCTGCAACCAAAAAATAGCCCGGGCATTGAGCTACTTGGGAGGCTGAGGCAGGAGACTTGCTTGAGCCCAGGAGTTGGAGGTTGCTGTGAGCTGTGATGCCACAGCACTCTACCCAGAGGGACAGATTGAGGCTCTATCTCAAAAAAATAAAAAATAAAACAAAAACACTTCCTAAAGAGTCCTAAACATCCCTGAGAAAGAAAAAAATCCCATTCTGGATTGTCTACAGCTAAAAAATTTGAGTCCACAAGCTGTACTCCAGGAATGATTTACTAAGGGACGAGAGTTTTATTATTAACCTGCGACAGCTGGGTAGGAAAGTATGAAGGAGCTCGTGCAGTGAATCACTCGTGCCGCCACCCCCACCAGACTGTTCACCTGCTCGCACAAGAAAGATGGCTTCCTCTTAATCACAAGTTTACCTGAAATGATTCAGTACAGCGCCTGGAAAGTTGGTGATGTTACTGATCCAAGGAAAAGCCCCCCTCCCTAATTTTTTATGTCCCACTCCCTACAATTTACATCTAACCAGACACACAGAAAGTAAGCCTTAACCCCCCTCCAAAGGGAGGGGGTTAGCAGAGAGCCCAGGCTACACACTTAGACCACACTGGACAGCCAATAGACTGCCTCAGATATCGAATGCAATCCAGCACTTTCAACTTCCTACTCCACTTTAGTTCACATTTATCCTCATATATATATTTTTTTTTCTTTTTTTTTTATTTTTCAGTTTTTGACTGGGGGCTGGGTTTGAACCCACCACCTCCGGCCTGTATACCGCTGCCCTGTGTGTGTGTGTGTATATATATATATACACATATATACATATATATATACATATTTTTTTTTGAGACAGTGTCTTACTTTGTCACCCACAGTAGAGTGCTGTAGCCTCATAGCTCACAGCAACCCCTAACCCTTGAGCTCAAGCAATTCTCTTGCCTCAGTCTCTCAAGTAGCTGAGTCTATAGGTGCCTGCCACAATGCCTGGCTATTGATAGAGGCTGGGGTCTCACTCTGGCTCAGGGTCTTCTCCAACCTGTGAGCTCAGGCAATCTACCTGCCCCGGCCTTCCAGAGTGCTGGTCATTTTGTTTTTTAAAAAATTCATCTGGGGGGCGGTGCCTGTGGCTCAAAGGAGCAGGGCACTGGCCCCATATGCCGGAGGTGGTGGATTCAAACCCAGCCCCGGCCAAAAACCGAAAAAAAAAAAAAAAAAAAAATTCATCTGGGTAGGGCTAAGTAGGGTGCTGGCACCATATACCGAGGGGGCGGGTTTGAACCCAGCCCCAGCCAAACTGCAACAAAAAAATAGCTGGGCATTGTGGCAGGCGCCTGTAGTCCCAGCTACTCAGGAGTCTGAGGCAATAGAATCGCCTAAGCCCAAGAGCTGAAGGTTGCTGTAAGCTGTGATGCCATAGCACTCTATCAAGGGCAACAAAGTGTGACTCTGTCTCAAAAAGAAAAAAAATTCATCTGGGCTTGGTGCCTGTAGCTCAAGAGGCTAGGGTGCTGGCCATATACACCAGAGCTGGCAGGTTCAAATCCAGCCGGGGCCTGCCAAACAATGATAACAACTACAACCAAAAAATAGTCACGTATTGTGACAGGCATCTGTAGTCCCAGCTACTTGGGAGGCTGAGGCAAGATAATTGCTTAAGCCCAAAAGTTTGAGATTGCTGTGAGCTGTGACACCACAGCACTCTAGCGAGAATGACAACTTGAGACTCTGTCTCAAAAAATAAATAAATAAATAAATAAGTAAAAATAAAAAAATTCATCTGACCCGGGCAGCACCTGTGGCTCAAGGTAGTAGGGCGCTGGCCCCATATACCAGAAGTGGTGGGCTCAAACCCACCCCTGGCCAAAAACTGCAAGAATAAGTAAATAAAATACTTATAAAAAAATTAATCTAACCCCCCCCCACCCCCGGCCACTCTAGATTGAACCAGCAGCTCCCATCTCCATCAACAGACTCTAGGGCATCCCCCAGTTCACGCCCTCCCCACGCTGATTAGCTGACCGCAGCCAGCAGAGCCCAATGGACAGTGAACATGGGTGGCCCCAAACACCCCAGTCTGGGGTGCAGATCTCTCCCTGGGCTGGGAAGGGAGAATCACCTGGGGGGCTTTTTCATGTTCTCCAGAAGTCAGCCCCACCCACTCCCAGAAGGCGGATTTGGAGTGGTGAGGCATACCCCACCAACAGTCTGAGAGGGACAAAGGGTAAGTGGGATGCAGAGATGAGCAGTGCCCCAGAAGAATGGCCATGGACGCCCCCATGGGACCTGCCTCACCAGGCTTTAAGAAACCCCTGGGTTTTTTTTGGTTTTTTTGCAGTTTTTGGCCGGGGCCAGGTTTGAATCCGCCACCTCTGGCATATGGGGCTGGTGTCCTACTCCTTTGAGCCACAGGCGCCACCCAAAACCACTGTTTTTACATTGAAAAGCTCCTCAGGTCAACTGGGAGAGGAGCAAACAGAAGTAATCAGTAGGTGAGTCTGAGCCTCCATGTCTGCTGTGCAAGTGACAGGCCGCTGGCTCCTAACGGGACTCCACCCCGGGACCCTTCTTCTGCCAGGCTGTGGGTCAGCACCCTGGGACCCTGGGCTGTCTAATGCATTTCCAGTCGTTTGGGCTCTAGGCACTGCAATAGCACTTCATGCAGAGTTCCTGATTTTTCCTCAGCTGTTACTGCTGGCCTTATCTTCCACTAACCTCAGAACCTCACTGTGACCGTCTGTAAAATGCCAGGTGTTGGGCTAGGGTGTTGGGCTAGAATCTGCATGTCTCAGACCCTTCACATCCTAAACGTATACAATGCTACAAGTGTCCTATAAAAGAAATATTGAGAGTGATGTTTTACTCCTCCTACGACCATGCCCATGGCCTGGGCTGTCCAACAACAGAAAACCACCCGAGCAGCTGCAGACACGGCAGCGAGTGAAGAGGGGCTTAACCTCAGCGTGAATGGGCAGGCACTCTACTGCACTGCCACACTCGGGCTGCAGTGGGTCCCTCAGGGAAGTCACGCACACTTCCACACCTCATCACAACGTGGCATCTCCCCCTGCATCAGTAGCAGCACAGCTAAGGAGAAAAGAACACTCCACCTTCAGAATGGATCGAGGGATAAAAGGGACAGACTCAACCCATTTTGTTGTGAACTCCTTGGGAAAAGCATTTGGTCCCAGAGGGTACAAGCAAAGGTGATGTCTGGCGCTCCATCTTTGAGTCTGACTACCAAGGCTTCCGCAGTCCCTGTTCTATTCAGAAGTAAACAAGAGGCAATCAAATCAGAACAAGGCAGAGAGGATAAGTGCTGCCTCAGCCACGAATCCAGGCCTGCACTCGCATTGGCAGGACAGCTGTGGAGCCCCACGTGACAAGTGACCCCTCCTACGTGCTGGGCCGACAGTGGCAAGTGCCCTGCTGCACGTACTCAGAGAACGGCCCAAAGAGTCCTGAACATGGGTGTCCCCTCTATGTGTGACCATCTTTTTATAGAATAAACAAAACAGAAAAACAAAAATCTCCTATCTCTCAAGCTGGCCATCTTGCAATGCCAGTGACTCAGCAGCCTGGTGTATAAATTAAGGAGTGAAAAGGTGGCTGAACCCCTCAGGAGCACTCAACTCTTCGGAAGATGCAGCCTGATGGGAGAAGTGAAGGAGCAGGAGAACCAGAACGGCGACCGCAACAGTTTATCATCAAACAAGCCGTGCAGCTCACATCCCGAGAGTCAGATTAACTTCCCTGAATCTATTTCACAGGAGGAATTACTAAGTGTTTAAATGTCAAGAGAAAAACCTGAAGTACAGAATTTTCTTAAATTGGTTGTACTTTTTAAAAAATATGGATCATACCCTGCATTAGCTTAATTAAGTCCTACCTAGTAAAATCTTGTTTTGAGTAATAAAACCAGCTCACTACAGTTGTCTGCTTTAACGTTTAAAAAACCTTTAATGAGAATTAGAAATTTGCTCTCGAAGGTTTAATCAGCCCTCTCCAAAGCTTGTTTACAAGCTCAGCCTGCTTAGTGAACTGTTGCTTCAGAGAACACGAAGGTCAGCTGCCACCAGGTTCCTCCTCCAGCTCCGGAGCTGGGATCTCCCGGCAGGCTTGAGTGCCAGCTTCACTGAGGCAAAGGCATGTCTGGCCCTGCACTGGGACCACGGCAGGGTCTCCAGGTTGCCTCCTGCTCAGCTGCGCGGGAACGAGTCCCTGCCCCTCTGAGCTCACTTTTCTGCGATGCAAAAGGGAGTCTCCTCATCCCGGTTAAGAGTCTGCTGGGGGCACCAAGGAGTCAGTAAAGACCCTGCTGGAGGCCACCCTGTCCTTTCACCTGCATTTTTGTAAGCCACAGATCAATTTAAAGCCTTGTTTTGGAACGATCTGTTGTGGAAAATGAACATCTTGTGCTGTATTTTTTCTAAAGCTGTTTGTCTCACGCTGGAAAAACAGCCTGTGTTGGGTTCCAGCCCCTACAGCCTCCCTTCCGCCTTTAGAAAGCCACTTAAGTCGCAACGGATGTAAATATTAATGACTCAAAACATGTAGGATCCCACTCGCGGCAGCCTGTAGGCTCTGCTAAGACCAACGTGGGTCTGAACCACAACCCGGAGAGGAGAACGCGGACTCCAAGAAGCGGCCCGGCTCACGACGTGGGAAGCCCAGGCCGCGCGGCGCTGGGCCGGGGGCTTGGCGGTCCAATCCCACCTGGTCCGGGCCCAGACGTACGCCAGGGGTCCGGGGGTCCCCTCAGCCTGCTCCCGGCCTCCCTCTGAATCTGCACCGCCTCGGCTGCCCTCCTCTCCTCCTCCTCGCCTTCCCCCTCCCAGCCTCCTCCTCCAGCCTCCCCCTACCTCGGCCTTCCCCTCACCCCGGCCTCCTGCCTACGCCGCATCCCCCCAGCGTCCCGCGCGGGCCTCCGCGGCCTCACCCTGCAAGCTTTCCTCCTGCAGCCCAGGGGCTCCGCTCTGAGACATGGCGCCAGGGGCAGCTGCGGCGGTCGGGGTCCGTGCCGGGCTTTGGGCTGCAGGCTGCCGGTCAGAGACAAGAGCGGCGGCGAGGGTGGCAGCGGTGGCAGCAGCGGCGGCGGCGGCGGCGGCGGCAGGGTCAGCGGCAGTAGCGGCGGCGAGAGATCAAGCAAAAGCAGCAACGCTGCGCCGAGGCGCCGGGGACTGAGCCCGGGCGGGCCGGGCGGAGGCAGTAGGGAGGGGGCGGGGGGCGGTGGATCCGCGGCGCCGTCTCCCATTGGCCGCGGGGAGGGGCCTGCGCGTGCGCGGGGACGCGGGGCGCGTGCGGCACGTGCGGCGCGGGCGCGGGGCGGGTCCGGGGCGGGGAGAGGGCGGGCTTCGGCCGCGTGTTTTGGGGCGCGTGTGCGTTGGGCGGCGGGCGCTGAAGGCTGGAGCCTGCCCACCTGGCGGCCGAGAGGTCCCGCGACCTGGAGGAAGAGGCTGAGGGCCTGCACAGCTAGAAGTCTGCTTGCGCCAGGTGCGGACAGCTGTCCTCAGGACACCGCGCCTCGGTAGGGTCAGACTTAGAGCGAGGAGAGTGGGCGCGCTGTGGGCTGAGTCAGAGTACGTGCCAGGCCTTCCCACTGGTTTACAGAAATAGCGTTGATTAGTGATTGGCTGTACAATGTATGGCTTATAGTATTGATTACAGTTGCTCCTGGCTTAGCAAAGCCTCAGCTGAGGTTACTTAGCCCAGGGCAGGTGGGACACGACAGCCACCCGTGTTCTCGCCTCGCTCTCGGGGCTCCTGGTTCAGAGAGGGCTGCGTTCTTCAGCTCACGTTTGTTCTTTCCCATTTCCCTCCTTTGGTTAGAAATCTTCTCAAAAGCATAGATGATCAAAATCAAAGTCTGAGTGTCAAGGTCCCACCATTAGGGAGACAGGGCCAGAGGAGTGCCCCAAACCCTAGTTGGGATGATATCAGAGTAACAACAAAGCGTTGACTGATACAGCAGCTGTCATTTGCTGAATCATCTTTAGTCTTAGGAATAACATGATTTTAGTTTTTCCAGAAGTAAAACAGAGACACACCGCTCTGGTAATTTGAATAGCAGAAACAACCGTGTGCAGTGGCTCACACACCTGTCCTCTCAACTTCTCAGGGGGCAAAGGTGAGAGAATCATTCGAGCCCAGGAGTTCCAGGCCACCTTAGGCAACATAGTGAGAACCCCCCTCAAATAAACTGTAATACATATAAGAATTATAATCAGAAATAATTTGCATGTCAGAACAAACAAAGGAAACTATTAGGAAGCCAATTGAGTGTCATGTTGAAAAGTAAAACTGGATTTTTTTTTTTTTAGAGACTTGTCATGGCCAAGTGACTTCTCTTCTAAATTTTCCAAAATGAGTTTTCTACGTCATGGGAGATATCTGCCTCCACGCATGCGCCTCCTTGCTCAGCTAATCTGCAGTCTAAATCAGAGTGACTCTGGAGCACAGCACTTCTGCTCTGCGGTGGAAGCTGCTGTCTCTTGACAGCCCAGGATCCTGGCAGTCATCCCACGGAGAGGAAGTCAGGTATTGACTGACTGGGCCACAGGAATACTAAAGAAAGCACTACACAAATCAGCCACAGGAATATCTCATTCTGGGCGGCACCTGTGGCTCAAAGGAGGAGGGTGCCGGATCCATATACCAGAGGTGGTGGGTTCAAACCCAGCCCTGGCCAAAAACTGCAAAAAAAAAAAAAAAAAAAGAATATCTCCTTCTTAGTGGGTGCTGCAGCCACAGGAATATGGAAGTTTAATGTGACCTGATGTCTTAGAATCGCAATACATGTTGGCAGTTCTCAAATCTTGGACAAAATGTCAGCCTTTTTCATTCAGCTTCCTTACAGAAAGGATTGGGGTATTACACAGGCTAGTACAAGGAATAATTAGACCCTTTCTATATAATCTTTTATTATAAGTCTGATTCCTTCAATTGCTTACGCCTGAAGGGATATTGTCTGATACCAGGTAAAGGTTTAATCAGGTTTCCTAACACTTTAATGGGGGTAGATGAATATATCTGATCCAGGTCAGTGGAAGGTTGGCACCATAAGTGGTCCGGCAAAGCTTATAGTAAACCATCCATGTCATTTGTCATGATTTAGAAACAAATTATTGAATCTGTATTTTTATAATTTTAATAGTTTCATTCTCATCCTGTATTGTTCAGTTCGCTCTTTCCATTGCAAGTTTGAAGACATTGGCCCCTTTGGGCAGAAGGAAATGTATGCCTTGGGAAGTTCCCTGAAAATCTCAGCCTAAGAGATGTGTGAGAGCCAAGGGAGCAAGCAGGTAGGTCCAAGGCTCTGAAGTGGGTCTCCCTGGGGTTCTGACATTGACTCTGCAGTTTTACTCCTGAGGAAGAGGACAGTAAGGCCAGGTGGGACAAGGACAGAAGGAGCAGCTCCAGTGTCTGAGAGGGCAGGCGTTCTCCATTGGGAAAGTTTCCATTTCTCCTAAGACGTTAGTCAGGAGGAATGGGAAATCCTCACCTGCCCTGTCCATCACCTGAAGGCCTGTCTTCTTGTTGGACCCTCTGTTGTTTCAGTTTTCTACAGTCTTTTTTGAAATGGCCGGGCTTCTTACAGTGGAAACAGCTGTCTCTGTGATCATTAAAGGACGGACCTGTCTGGTCTTCCCCAGCACTCACCTCCCATGTTTGATCTTGGGAGACTCTAAGGCAACGCAGCAACACGTCAGCTGGTCAGTTGTTTGTTTCTTTCTTTTTCTTTTTTTGAGACAGAGTCTCACTATGTTGCCCTCGGGAGAGTGCCGTGACGTCACTGCTTACAGCAATCTCAAACTCTTGGGCTTAAGCGAGTCTCTTGCCTCAGCCTCCCAAGTAGCTGGGCGCCTCCCAATAGCCCACCACAATGCCCAGCTATTTTTTTGTTGCAGTTGTTTAGCTGGCCTGGGCCATGTTCGAACCCACCACCTTCATTCAGTGTATGTGGCTGGCGCTGTAACCACGCTGCCTGATCAGTTGTTTCTGTTGCAAATTCATAATCCTTAAAGCCTTATTTTTTCCTTCTTTCTGAGTAGTTACAGACATTTGATCTACCAGGCTGTACAATTTGTGAGTTTGTATATTCATCTAGTTAGGTAACCAGGTCCTCATTTAAGCCACTGAGAAAGTGGAATTTATAAGGAGTCGTTCTGATGATCTTGGGGCCTGCGTTCAGCCATTCCACAATGTTGTTTAAAGGTTTTTTTCAAACTGTTGAAGATAATCAGGCACAGATTTGTGTGGCCCCTGAGTGAGCTGTCGAATGTACCTCCCGTCTGTTTTTAGGAAAGCCCTGGGGAATGGCATAGGGAAGAGCCTGGGCTCAGGTGTGGGTGCCCCACCCCCAGACACTCAGGTCCTTGTCAGAGGCTGAGGACTTTGGACTTGACCCTGCTCCCCTCACACTTCTGCACTGTGACTGCTAGGTGACTTCGCGGGCCTCAGGCCATTTCCTGTCTGGGGCCTGTTTTGTGCTGTCTACCCAGCAGCCTGTGCACCTCAGGAAGAAATCTCTGTCCTTAAATTTAGGATTCACTCACCCATTCTCGTCACCACTGACATCTCTTATATGGATTTTTTAATGTGTGTGCAGTTTTTGGCCGGGGCTGGGTTTGAACCCACCACCACCTCTGACATATGGGACTGGCGCCCTAATCCTTTGAGCCACAGGCACCACCCCTCTTATATGAATTTTTTAAAAACTTTTTTTTTTTTTTTTTTGAGACAGAGCCTCAAGCTATCCCCCTGGGTAGAGTGCCATGGCATCATGCTCACAGCAACCTCCAACTCCTGGGCTCAAGCGAGTCTCCCGCCTCTGCCTCCCAAGTTGCTGGGACCACAAGCGTCCGCCACAGCGCCTGGCTATTTTTTTTGGTTGCAGCCATCATTGTTGTTTGGCAGGCCAAGGCTGGATTCGAACCCACCACCTTAGGTGTATGTGGCTGGCGCCTTAGCCACTTGAGCCACACGCGCCAAGCCTAAAACATTTTAGATTGTTTTTATTACAGCGACAGTGGAGACAGGGCTGTCTTTGCACAGCAGGTGGCTGGTGAAGACCCAGCTTCCATCTATACAGCCTTGGAGTGCAGCCTCAATGGGCTCAGTGTTTGAAGGGTTCTGTCCTTGGTCCCTGTAACTGCTGCATGTTTTCTTTGGATGGGATGAAGTTTGCAGGGTGGAGATGCCAGAGAGATGCCAGACTTCATGGAGGCTGGGGTTTCCACCAGGTACAGCTGTGAGATAGGGAATGGGGTGTAGGAACCCACAGTAGGGAGGGCAGGTGCAGCCAGAAGAAGCAGGAAGTTACTTCTCTTTTGGACTGAGAGCAGGCTGACAGGCCTGGGTCACCCTATAAAGCAGCAGTTCTCAACCTGTGGGTTGCAACCAACTGTAACTGTATTAAAGGGCCTCCGCATTAAGAAGGTTGAGAGCCACTGGCGTAAAGAAACCTCTGTGGTGAGAGCCTGGGGACATCACACATGGGCTATTCCAAACTGCCGTGGATCCTGGCCCTTTCTAAGAAACGCTGGTTAGAGCGGATTGAAGCAGATGTGAACAGAGGTACAGCCTGAGAGTCCAGTGCAAGGGAGGAAGGTCTGAGCAGAGGAGGCTCTTGCGCCCAAGGGAGTGGTGGGAAGGGGGTGGGGCTCCTGTGTCTCCCGCATCTGCTGCTCTGCTGAGAAAAGGGGGTAGAGATGGTATCAGATGATATATGGTTTCTTTGCTTTTCATGTGAAGAAGAGAAAGGTCCCCACAACCCCTCAGCTCCAAACCCTCCAAGAAAAGAGACTTCTGGAAGGAGTGACTTCAGGCTTCTGGGGGACAGTGAAGCCACACTTGGTAAAATTGGTCAGAGGCCACAGGGAACTGGTGAGGCCTGCACTCAGCAAAGGTTTGGGCATAGTTAGAGCACACACAAAGCCAGCCACTGTCCCCTCCTTGCTTTCCTGTGGTCCCTCACCACTCAGAGCTTGACAAGGGACATTGAGAAGGGGCTTCAGGGGAGCAGGAGGAAAATTGGCTTGCAGGGCCCCTCAGAACACGGGTCTGAGGTAACCTAGGTAACC